GGAGTCTCACTCACGAGGCTGGAGTGCAGTGGCGTGATCTCGGCTAACTGCAACCTCCAACCCCAGGTTAGTGATTCTTCTGCCTCAGCCTCCCAAGTAGCTGGGACTACAGGTGTGCACCACCATGCCCAGCTAATTTTTGTATTTTTAGTAGAGATGGGGTTTCACCATGTTTGCCAGGGTGGACTCGATCTCTTAACCTCGTGATTTACCCGCCTCAGCCTCCCAAAGTGCTGGGATTACAGGCATGAGCCACCGCGCCTGGCCCAAATTCTTTTACAGAAATCCACATTGAGGGTACTTTGTCAGTAGATAGGGAAACAAAGGTAAATGTTAATTATCATCAGTATCCCATTTCTCTTACTTGATGATGAGTACACAAGTGCTCTTTTAAATGATTTAATTCAATAAAGAGCTTTGTGTAGAGGAAAATTCCTAACACAAATATTTAACATTTTTTGGTATTTAAAAATATACTTGTTCAGAAGTGGATGTAACAGATACGATTTCTTTATCAGTGTTAAGATTTTGAATTAAAATTTATAGGGTTAGTTCTATTAATGTTTATTCTTGCTTTAAGGGTTCTGATGATTGTCTTGTGAAAATCTGGGCAACAGATGATGGGAGGTTATTAGCTACCTTAAGAGGACATGCTGCTGAAATATCAGACATGGCTGTAAACTATGAGAATACCATGATAGCAGCTGGAAGTTGTGATAAAATGATTCGAGTCTGGTGTCTTCGAACCTGTGCACCTTTGGCTGTTCTTCAGGGCCACAGTGCGTCTATTACATCACTACAGGTAATTGTCTCAATCCCTATACATTTTTATTGTTGTTATAATGTAAAGTAAATTTAATGAAGTCTCTTTTGGTTATTTAAAGTAAAATTTAAGAAGTTACTTTTATAATCCAGTATATAAGGCCAACTAAAATGAAGAAAAGGAGTATTTCTGCTTTCTTTATAAATATATGGACTTTAAATAACATAGTAGTTATAATCTTGGCAAATTCTGACCATTTTCTAACTGTTATTGTTAGTTGCTATTTGTATGGTAAAGGTCGATTTTATTTGGACTGTGTCACTCTTGTAAAGATTTTTTTTCTGTGATTGTCTTTTCAGTTCTCACCATTGTGCAGTGGCTCAAAGAGATACCTATCTTCTACTGGGGCAGATGGCACTATTTGTTTTTGGCTCTGGGATGCTGGAACCCTTAAAATAAAGTCAGTTTCTATTTTATTTCATAGAATAAATGTGTTTAATTTAATGAGTGAAATTGTAAAAGTATAAAGTAGTCGACAATAGGAATACATTTACTTTTTCTTCTTGAGTAAATAATAGAAATCCTTTTTTGGCTCTTTACTAACCTCTTTTATTTTTATACCTCTCCCTTTTTTAATGTTTCAAATAAAGTTTTCTCACGTTCACATGTTTTTCTTTTCTCTTTATACTAATCCTAGCTCTTTCCTTGATAATTTACTTTTTATTACCATTCCTTTCTGTGTGCTGCATAGTTTTAATAGCTGCTTTTGATGCTGAGAACATAATCTTAAGAATTTCTAATGCTGTTCTTTAGAATAATTTCAATTATTGATGCTACTGAATCTATAAACTTTAGATTTTGTTTTAGATCTAGAAAAACTTAGGGAGATAGAATCATTGAAGTTTCACTAAACTGCATCAAGGTAGATAGATGTATTCCTGTCCCTCTTCATAATAGCGTTTTGCATTTGTGCCGTCATCTATATTAATACTTTGGTTTATCAAAACAAGTTGGCTAGATAGTATTATCTTTTGATTATGGGCACTGAAAAGGTTAAATGACTTTCCCATAGTTAAAACAATGTTTAGAAATTAGCGAGGCCAGGACTAGAGCACTTCCCTGCCCTTTGATCCTTTCTATACCATGTCTTTTAAGTGGATATAGAGGGTAAAGTAAATACTGTGTTTGCTCCATGCGTGGTTTTTGAGCAAGAAAGTCGTGTAGTCAGTTGATTTCCGCAGTGTTGAAATGACCACTTCTGCCACTTGAGTAGAAAGTAATTCAGATTAGAAGGTGTTTATCAATAATTATCTCTGACTTCTATGTATAAATTACCAACCTGAGTTATTCAGTAAAATAATACATTTATGCCTTTGTTATTTTAAAAACAGTAGTGTTTAGATAATTATCTGTACTGCAAGGCAAGCTTTTTTAACTTAATGTGTATGTACATTCTTATAGAGTAATTCTTTTGGCAGCTTGGGGGCCATGATAGCTTGAGTAACAATAAAACTACATTTGAAAAAAGATTGTGATTTAAAACATGGTTCTTTGGACAAAAGAAAGTTGACTTCACTTTAGTTGCATCCCTCATATTTAAAGTCTTTCTATAGATACTTAGATAAAAGTTGAAATATTTTACTGATGTATATGGACAATAGCAATAGTTAATTGTTAATTGTTGTTTCCTTATGTGTATTTTTACCTCCTTGTGGACCTGATTGGGATAGCTTTCTCTTTTCCTCCTTATTTTTTTAGAGAAGAAAAAGTGATAATGTTCAATTTGGGATAGGAACAGAATATGTTTTACAGAATTAAATTCTCATCTTATTTGTGCTTATTGAGGATTATATTGCTAAGTACAATAACATTTCATGTTTTTGGACACTTGAGAAGTGAGTTTTTCCATATAAATGATTTTTTTTCAGAACCTTTATGTAGAATCACATCTAAACCACTACCCTAATACGGTATTTTTTTCTCCATGAATGTTTTTACATAGATATAATTAGGAAAATACATGAAAGTGTTTTTATTTTATCATAGGTATTTATATTAATTTTAATAGCTTAGATTATGTTCTAAAGAGTTTTTATATACAACTTAGTAATTTTTTTTTATTTTTGGACTTTAAAGTTTTTTCTAGTTATTTATAAGTAATTTTCTTTTCTGTTTGGTATTAAAATTGTCCCATAAAATTTTTAAATTCAGAGTTCAGGCATAAAATGAGTAATCTGGCTGGGCATGGTGGCTCATGCCTGAAATCTCAGAACTTTGGGAGGCCAAGGGAGGAAGATCACTTGGGTTCAGAACTTTGAGACCAGCCTAAGTAAAATAGCAAGACCCTGTCTCTACAAAAATTAAACAAGCAAACAAACAAAACGCCAGACATGGTGGTGCATACTTATACTCCCAGCTACTCAGGAGTCTCAGGTGAGCTGCTTGCTTGAGCCCAGGAGTTGATGGCTGAAGTGAGCTGTGATCCTAGCACTATACTCTAGCCTCAGCGACAGAGCCAGGATCCTATCTCATAAAAATAAGAATAATCTGTTACTCTTTAGATACAAGTTTTGGGACACCTGTTTTCTTTATGTATTTACACATAGTCGAAAACTGCCAAAAATTAGGCAGGATATAGATTGCTACTGTGTTTATGTCACATAGGATTCAATTAATAATCAAAGGCAAAAATTGTATTGAGCTATAATACTTTTATATAATCTGCTGGGGGAAATGACTTTAGAAACTCAGCATCTACGTTAGTTTAATGAATCTTCAACTTTGGGAACTCAAATATCTTTATAAATTCACTTTTATGTGTATATTATCAACTCTTACAGTAAAGATGCTGTTCCTTAAATGGGTAATCTAAGTGGCCAAGTGAATCATAAGCTAGCCTCAGAGGTCTCTGAGTAGAAAGAAGCTGTCCAAGTATATTTAAACTTAGATGTAGCGACTAGGAATCCTAAAATATGCATATAATATGACTATAAATTTTTATTTGTAATTATTAGGCACTAAGCCTGCCAGGCTAGTACTAAGCATTTCACATTTGTTATCTTAATTCCTATAAGAACCATTTGAGAAAGGTACAGTTACTATCTCTGTAGCAGACAGGGGAACATACAATGCAACGGGCAGAGCAGGTTGCATTGTTAGCAGGTGGTACTGGAGCCAGGATTTAAATATTACTAGAAGTATACTGTCAGAAATCCCTTTTAACCACTATGCCAAACTAAACCACAGTTAGTCATTGAAGGATTGGCTGGAACTTATTGAACCTAATAAAAATACTAATATTTATTGAGCATATTGGACACTGTACTGAGCACTTTACATGAATCACACTGGTTTAAATCTCCCAGCAATTCTGAGATAGGTTCTGTTATTACCCCTGTTTCACAGTTGAGGAGACTGAGGTACAGAAATGTTAACTTGCCTAAGGTCATACACTTGATAAGTGATAGAACTAAAAACTGAACTCCACCCAAGGTCCTTTTTAAAAATGTTTCCTCAAATAATGCATCTAAAAACAAATTGCGGGTACTCACTTTCTTGTTTTTTCCCTTTAAGAATATGACATCTTTTTGCTTTTAGTTTTTGTGGGTACATACTAGGTGTATATATTTATGGGGTACATGAGCTCTTTTGATACAGACATGCAGTGCTTAATAATCACATGGTGTTAAAGGAGGTATCCATCCCTTCAAGCATTTATCCTTTGTGTTACAAACTATCCAATTATACTCTTAATTATTTACAAATATATTACTGACTACAGTCTGTTGTGCTGTCAAATACTAGGCTCTATTTATTCTTTGTATTATTTTTGTACCCATTAACCATTCCCACCTCTCTCCTCTTCCTCCCACTACCTTTCTAGCCTGTGATAACCATCCTATCTCATGAATTCAACTGTTTTGATTTTTAGATCCCCAAAATAAGTGAGAACATGTGATGTTTGTCTTTTTATTTTACTTCGCATAATGGAACTTCCAGTTCCATCTCTGTTGTTATAAACGACAGGATCTCATTCTTTTTTATGGCTGACTAGTACTCCATTGTGTATAAGTACCACATTTTTATCCATTTATCTGTTACGGACACTACTTGTTTCCAAATCTTTGCTATTGTGGCCGGGTGCATTGTCTCACCCTGTAATCTCAGCACTTTGGGAGGCCGAGGAGGGTGGACCGACCGAGGTCAGGGGTTTGAGACTGGGTTGGCCAACATGGTAAAACCCCGTCTCCAGTGAAAACACAAAAATTAGCTGGGTGTGGTGGCGTGCACCTGTAATCTCAGCTCCTTTGGAGGCTGAGGCATGAGAATCACTTTAACCTGGGAGGTGGGAGTTGCAGTGAGTCAAGATAGTGTGACTGCACTCCAGCCTGGGTGACAGAATGAGACTCTCTCTCCAAAAAAANAAAAAAAAAAAAAAAAAGTAACTTGTAGTGCTTTGTTAAGTTTATTGGACAATCAAAATAATTCACCAGTGTATAAAGAGAATTGTCTAAAAATACATAACATTAACAATGACAAAGACTTACATGGTTGTCCATCAGGTTCTAAAGCATCTGTGTTTATGTGTTTTCCTTTAAACTAACTTAACTGATTTGCTTTAAACCTAAACAAATAAAACATATAATTTACTTACATTGTCACACTAATCTAATATTTTAAGATATAATTTCATTGCTTTTGTCATTTGGCTGTAATTTAACTTATAAAATTATAAGTTGAGGCAAGAGAATCACTTGAACCCAGGAGACAGAGGTTGTAGTGAGCCGATATTGTGTCACTGTACTCCACTCTGGACCACAGAGCAAGACTTAGTCTCAAAAAACAAAACAAAACAAAAAAACACAAATCTTTGCTATTGTGAACAGTGCTGCAGCAAACATGGAAGTACAGATATCTTTCTAAAATAAAAATCTTTTTAAAAATGGTAGTTTATAGGACTGTTTGCATATTTTATAATGAGTCTCATCTCGGTTCAAATGTTTGCTTCAAACTTATATGAGCAGATGTACCAAAAATTAACAAAAATCTAGAACTACAATCGATAAGATACCTAATGAAAGCAGTGCATTTAGTTGCTTTCATAATTCAGTTTAATTTGCTTAAATTACAATTAATTTTGTTCTGAATAAATATTTGGGTTTTAAGAATGTTTTAATATCTGTCTCTTTAAATGATACTTGTTCTGCTCAGCTGTTATATTAGAGCCCGTAAATGTTAATAGAATTTGTTGAAAATAATAATTTAAAACTATGCACAAACTTATTTTTAAAATTGTTAACATTTCATTGCATTCTGTATCAGTATAAAGGATAATTTTTACTGCTCAGAATGTATATAATATTAGGTTGGTGAAAAATAATTGAGGTTTTGCCATTATTAGCAAAAAGTAAAAAAAAAAAAAAATGACAGAAACTGCAATTATTTTTGCACCAACTTATAGCTCAGAAATATTTTACCTATACACCTTTTTCTAGTAAATGATCAAAAAACAAAAACTCTGAATTTAAGATTGTGAAAGTTATATAGGCTTAAGGCTCTAATTATTTTTGTATTTCCTCAAATAGTGTAGAAGAACTGTGAAGTAAGTAGGGCTTCAAATATAATCAGTATATTGGAACATTACATATACACTGTTAAATGTATACAGCTAGTTTGATAGAAATCTTCTTTTTCTCATTTGGTTGACTATAACATTAAACATTTAATATCGTTAGTATTATAAAATCTGTAATCTATAATATAGTTGTGCAATTAATGTAAATATAGCTGAGTGTAACCCATTTTCTATAGACTGCTACTTTGAGCATTATAGTTGACATAAAAGCCAGATTATCTTCAGATTTTCATGAGGATAAGTGTAATATTCCTACTTTTGGGGGTCTTAAAGGACATGTTTTATCACATTAGTATGTTAAAGAAGGAGAAGCTTAATTAACAATGTAAAATACTGAAAAAGTTCAGTTATTGGTGGTATGTATAAGGCACAGACACAGCACCTATTTTACTAGTGCGTTTTGTTTGTGAATAGCTTAGTTTCTTATTATGTACATTGCTATTCTGTATGAAAAACTGAGAACATTTTAAATTTGATTAGAAGTAAGTGTAACTAGTAACTGTATGTCTGGAGTGACAGGATTGTTCCATTTATGTAATTGTGTAATCAGGAGCTCCTACAAAATCTGTATCTAGCTAGAAGTTCTACAAGGTCTGCTGATTTATGACACATAATGATTTCTAAGTTGTTTTTAGGAAGGGAGCCATCTGTTGCTTCTCAATTTTGTCCTTCTGTGGATTATTTTTTGAAACTATTGGTTCCTTTAGGGTATTTTTAATTGTTTATTTTTTGTATTATAGCCCAAGACCTGCAAAATTTACAGAGCGCCCTCGGCCTGGAGTTCAAATGATCTGTTCTTCTTTTAGTGCTGGTAAGATTACCCCATTCGTATTTTCCGTTTAAAGTTATTCATTTAGAAACCTAGTGCAGCACATAATATTTTGGGAAATATTTACTGTTGTATTATAAATGATGTTCTTATACATATGTCACTGCTAATAAGCAACCGAGAATTATTATAAACTTTTAGAAATACTTCAATTATGCAAGAGTTTAGTTTATAGAATCACATAACTAATATTTTTCTTTAAGAAGACCATAATGTTCTAGCAGGAGAATAGTTTCAAAATTGACTCTGTTAAAGAATGAATGTTTAAATAGTTGTTTCATTGTAAGAACAGTATTTTAAATCTGGTTTATGTTTTCATGGATTTTGGAGGTATTCTATAGTTGAGTAAAATTAATTTGATTGATATTTATGTATCTTTATTAGTTAATTTGCTATATATTGTTATTTGCTCTTTAAAAAGTGTTTGTGTAATCATGCCAAGATTCCAATTCAGATTTGTGTTTATGCAGCAGCATTTGGAATAGATGCTAGGGTGTTTTTAAACAAGTTATTAAAGAAATCTGGATATTTATAGTAAACTGACAAGAAACTTAAACATGAGTAGATCTGAATAGTGTCTAATACCTGTTCCTCCTACCTTTAGTTTTAGTTTTACTTTTTCTGCTTATTTTATGATTGTGGATGGAGTATTACTTGAGATAAGGGATAGCAAACTGATGAAGTGACTCTGTTTTTGCCATACTAATATCCAAACATCTTCATTCTCTGACGTACAGATTTCCAGTGTCACTGCTATGGATTCAGTGTTCCTTGTAGTAATCACACAAATATAGGCCCCATGCATGCATCCAGAGTACTCTGAATTTTTACTCATTTTTCAAAGACAGTTTGATTTTTTTTAAGGGGTTAGTGGGTAGATTATTTAGCAAAAGTAGCTAAGTATTTCATTATATACAGGCATTGCTTTCAATACTGTGGAAGAGTATGACTCGAGTACACTGCATATAGAAATAACTGTAATGCAAGGTAGAATGAATGTACTACAAAACAAAGTCTTAAGGGAGTTCTGAAGAGGGCAGCCTCATTTCATTTCAAAGTTTGTAAAGAAAAGTCACTGAGGGAGTTGGGCCTTAAAAGCTTGATAAGATTTTGACAGATGGGAAATGAGACAAGAGAAAAATTTCAGCCAAGTTGAGAGAGAAAATGAATGATAATTTTAATATGTTATAGTTATATAATTTAGTGAAATTATTTTTAAGCAAAGCTTTACTTCTGTACACATTGAAAAATTCATTCTAGTCACCCAAGATACATTCCTAAATTTCTTTCTTAAATTTCAGTTAGATATGCTATATATTTGGATAAATGTGAATGCTTTTGGAGTAAAATATTAATTCAGTATATATTGTAATTTTGCTTACATTTTATTATCTAATTTTCAGAGATTTTGAAGTTATGTTTTACTAATAAGTAATTGCTTTTTTTCTTCATAGGTGGAATGTTTCTGGCAACGGGAAGCACAGATCATATTATTCGGGTTTATTTTTTTGGATCAGGTCAGCCAGAGAAAATATCAGAATTGGAGTTTCATACTGTAAGTATTGGTGAAAAGAATTAGATGAGTATAATTTATGTGAGTCTAACAGTTTACATTCAGCACCCACTTTTTTATTTGTTTATATATAGGACAAAGTTGACAGTATCCAGTTTTCCAACACTAGTAACAGGTAAAATATTTGTCTAATTTAATTCTAACTTTAAAATTATTAAATAAAGACAATTTTAGTATTCAGGATTTATTTAGAGTTGTGTGGGAAATAATCACCTACCTAAAATAAAGATCTTGACCAGTTATACTTAAAAGTGATTATAGCCTTCACATTCATAGACACGTCTTTATTTTATTTTTAATAATGTTAGTATACTTCGACTCTTTTAGTAATAACTGCTTTTTTTTTTTTATTGGGAGACAGAGTCTCAGTCTGTCACCAGGCTGGAGTGCAGTGGCGCGATCTCGGCTCACTGTAACCTCCGCCTCCTGGGTTCAAGCAATTCTCCTGCCTCAGCCTCTCAAGTAGCTGGGACTACAGGTGTTCACCACCATGCTTAGCTAATTTTTTTATATTTTACTAGAGATGGGATTTCGCCATGTTGTCAAGGATGATCTCGATCTCTGACCCTGTGATCTGCCCGCCTCGGCCTCCCAAAGTGCTGGGATTACAGGCATGAACCACCGTGCCTGGCCAATAACTGCTTTTTAAACTACCTTATATGTTCCAGATATGTATCAAAATATAGAGAAGCTTTTGGTATGGATTGGAAAAGTGTCACAGTATAATGCTTGAGGCAGACCTGTTTATTGATGATATTGTGTAAATTTTCCCATGTTCTTGTTATAAAAGGAAATAAAATTGCTTCTTATACCTTGAGTAGAGTAAGTCAGATTCTTTAATATTGAGAGGAAAATTACTGTTTTTCCTTGGAAAATACTGATTTTGTTTCTGGAATAGTGTATAGTAACCTGAAATCATTTTTGAAAATGTTATTTTTGAGACCTAGTCATGAAAATTGGAACATTTGTATATAAAATTCCAAAAAAGCCCATAAAGTTTCAGAAGTTTTTAGAATGCTGTATAAATAAAGATGAATGCTGTCTTTTTAAACGAGATCTCTGGGAAAAGTGTATTTTGGTGAAGCATATGTGATTTTTTCTTTGGGGGATTGAATTCCTTTTAATATAGGTTTGTAAGTGGGAGTCGTGATGGGACAGCACGCATTTGGCAATTTAAACGAAGAGAATGGAAGAGCATTTTGTTGGATATGGCTACTCGTCCAGCAGGGTAAGAAGTCAAATTTGAAATATTATGTAGATATTGATTATTTAAAGTATGTTATAGCGCAGGTTGGAGTGACTCAGCCTATAAAATTATATGTCATGTTAAAATTACTACTTTTCTGCAATAACTATAGGTGCATTTGGAGATGAGCAGTGTTGATTTTTATGAAATGATTCATTGGCATATTTGAGGAGATCGCTGCATTAATTTTTTTTAAGGGGATGATAAAAGCACTGTAAGAATAATTTTTAAATATTTTTTTCAGAAGCCAGAACTTACTATGTTTCATTTATTACAGAGGGACAATATTTTATATCCAGTGGTTTCCTCAGCCAAGATAAATTATACTCCGTGTTGTAACTGTTATTTTGGTTTTAATATTTTATCATTTTTTCCATTTGTATGTTTAGTCATCTCAGATGGATAGGAAAGCAGAACAGTCAGCAGGGGATGACAGCAACAGTAAAAGGTGGAGAGTGAGCAGCATGGCACAGAATTCCTAGATCTAGATAGAGTTATAGCAGTGATATTCATGCACGATCATCTGTTACTAATGATTTAGAAGTGCTGGAATTGTGGAAATACTGGATTTCCTGACTTGGTGCAGGGATTTTTATCATCATTCCATGTTGATTCAAACTTCTCAGTTACTGTTAAGTGACAGTTATTAGGTTAATGAATATAAATACAAATTATAGATTATATGGTTTTTTTGTGTCAGTATTTAAATAGTATAAACAAATACTTCCTCATTTTCAGCCAAAACCTTCAAGGAATAGAAGATAAAATCACAAAAATGAAAGTTACTATGGTAGCTTGGGATCGACATGACAATACAGTTATAACTGCAGTTAATAACATGACTCTGAAAGTTTGGAATTCTTACACTGGTCAACTAATTCATGTCCTGATGGTGAGAAAAGAATTCTAATTTTATTTGATATAATTGAAGCCTCACTATAGAATGAAATATTCTCATTGAGGAATAAAGTCTTTCATGTTAGCTAAAAACTCTTGCTTGCTGGTGTAACAGGGCTTTGCAAGTGATTGGGAATAATTTAACAATGCAGTTAAACAGGTTTGGCTTGGAAATGTATAGTAGATATTTGCTGTTTTTTCATAATGAAAAGATCCACTAACAGTAGTCTCATGTCTTACTAGATGATAGCAAAGGCCTGGACAATGATATTAGTTCAGTTTCATTGTTATTTATACAAGACAAATTTAAAGATTTTTGCCAATTTAATAATACATAAAACTCTGTTTCTAGAAATAGTGCCATATTGATGTTTCATTGTATTTTGTTTTTCTTTCTTTTTTTAATATCTGTGATTCCTTGACACTTCAAAACTATTCCAGGGTCATGAAGATGAGGTGTTTGTTCTCGAACCACACCCATTCGACCCTAGAGTTCTCTTTTCTGCTGGTCATGATGGAAACGTGATAGTGTGGGATCTGGCAAGAGGAGTCAAAATACGATCTTATTTCAATATGGTAATTATCAGTCTCTTCATTTTATACCTGCTAAAGATTTGGGAGCTTTTTGACAAAAGTACTCTGCCTGTCACAAAGGAAATCCATTTAAAAATTGGTTTATTATTTTGACTTTAAATTTCCATCAATAAAGAATGATTTATTCCACACCTTTATTGACATGCTGAATGTAAAAGAAAATTAATTGTATGTATTACAGTATCTGTACATTGTGATAACTGTTTTAGTTTTATTAGTTTTAGCAGTGAAACGTTGGAAATTTACAAGTATGAAGATACAATATAGAGGAGAAAAAATATTTGGAAAACCATGTGAAGAAATTATAAATAAATACTTAGATTGTATTATACTTTTTTAGTCTTCTGACACAACAGAACTTGATTCCAGTACGTTGATTTTAAAATTAGAGCCAAAGAATCAGGCATTTCCTGCTTTTAATCAAATGGTAGCATATTAATATTTGAGTTGATACTCCTTTCTTTCCACATTTTGGTTCTTAGAGTTTAACGTAATTTGGTGAGCATTTGAATTACAATGTTTTAATGTATCACATACAGCTTATGAAGCAGTGTTTCCACTTCTGTCCAACAACTGTATGAAATATAAAGGTCTCCTCAAGCAGCTTATGCAATCATATTTTTTAAAATTCTACATTCTGTGTATTAGAAATATTCAACAGAGAACAAAAGAAAAAAATATATTTCTAGTATTTCAGCATGTTTAAATTAAAAAAAAAATTATAGAAACCTTTAGTAATGAACCATAAAACATACAATTAGTACATAGGGTCAGAATTATTTTGCCGAATAAATTATTTCACAAAACAGTTGTTTGTGAAATAATGGTCTGTGAAAAAATTATATGTATGTGATGCTATGCTTGATTGAAAATAATCAGAGTAAAGTTATTTCTATGTTGTGAGAATGCAGATATAACAGCTAATTTTTTAGTCAGGGAAATAAGCTATCTTTAAGGCTATGCCTTCGTATACATTCAGTAAGAAATAAGGTTTGTAAAACCTCTGTTTCTAGAAAACAGTGTTAATTATTTGGTGTGCACTTGTTAGTGATGGATGGATGGATGGATTTCCTTTGTGATTGTATGGAGGTGTTTTAAAAAGCAAATCTGTCAATATGCTAGTAAAAATGTTTTCTTCTTTTCTATACTTTCTAATTTGCTCCTTTTTGGAATATCTGTTGAATAAGGAAATTAGTCATTTCTCAGTTTGTCTTTATAGCTTCAAAAAAAAAAAAATATGTGGGCTCTAGATATACTAGTGGCTTCATTTAGTAGTTTTGTGTTTCCAAAGGGCATTATTATATTGGTAGAGGGCTTGGAGGGAAACTTTTCTCTCATAATTGAATACTGCCTTAACTTTTCAGTTACAAAGGTGAATTTTCCTTTATCAGGTAAGGTGGTCACACTAATATTCTACCTTTTCAGTAGGTACAAAAACTACAGCACCTTGAGAGTTAAGTGATTTGCTCTTAGACCAATAAAAATTACTAATGTAACCAGGACAGGTCAGCCATAATATATACTTTTAAAAATTAGTTAATTATATTACTGCCTTAAAAATTGTTTATTGTTAAATAAGAGTTTTAGATGAGGATATTTTTCTGGTTCTTTTTGTGGATAAGAGATAGAAAAACCTATAAAGGGCAGAAGAAACAACTTGATATAAGTTGAAATGGGTGGTATCCATAGAATTGCAGACTATGAGTGAAACATAAACCAGAAAGGCTAAAAAATATATCCTGCATTAAGAAAACAGAAAGTGAGCCACCCTTATTCTCATTAAAATAAAGATACTACCTTTAATTTTTTATGTGATATTGAATGGTTCCCACATATTTTACCTCCTTTGGGTCTCATGAAAACCTTGTGAGATAATCAAGATAGATTTTATTGTTCTTGGTCTTCAGAAGGAAGAAACTGTGCCTTACAGAGATGAAGTGCTTTGCCCAAATTTACTGAGTTCACACAACTATTATGCGGGCATTTGGGCATAAACTCATGATTCTGGCTGTTGCTAATATATTCAAATCTAATCATGGTTGGCTTTTTGAGCTTTTGTCACTGTTACTGCATAGCTAACTTCTAACTATACGCAATTAGTGATACGTCCTTAAAGAAACGTTTTCATGATGGTAATAACTCTGAGTGGATCTTTTGACATCTTACTCTTTACCTTAATTTTATTTCCTGTCTGTCTCTTATGAGTTATCTAATTGCCCTACTTCTTTTTTGCTCTTCACTCTTTTGTTCTTTTCATTGCTTGTTTTATTTATGGGCAAATGAAAGATAAAGCATTCAGCATTGCTATTAAGAAAATAAAGAGAAACAATTCAAGGGAGGGCCTGTGTTCTCACTGCTTGCTCTCATGAATTTTGAGTTTTGGCTATAATTACAGCTATTTGGCTCTGTGTAGCTAATCAATAAGTTTTTCAGTTAGTAAAATACCACGATATTTGATCGCATACAGATTTAATCCCTGAAGTTAAGTTGCAGTAGTAATCACAAGTTTAGTTTAGTAAATAATTTTTTTAGTCCCTTGTGAAGGTTCTAGTCGTATGTAATGCTTTGATATATTAGAGGATGAATAATTCTGTTGGAATACTCCTGTTTTGACTAGAAATAGTGAAAGTCATGTGAAATATTTTAAAGATAAATGATATTTCATGTGACTGTTAAAGCTGAAGTTTATAAAACAGATAAGTAAATTCACCATTCTGCCTACAGCTAGAAAATAAGGAATATAGACTATACCTTTAAAATAACAATTTTATGTACAAATTTCTTAAATACAGGTTTTGATCAAGTGTATTTTGAGAATACTTTAATATTGTCCCTTTTTGAATAACAATTGAATTTTCCATTGGAAATTTATAATACTTTTGCAAAAAATAATGGGAATCATGTAACATATAATTTAGTATTTTGTATTTGTCAACATTTTGCTATAATTTTGTGCAATTATGGAAATGTAAATTCTTTTTTTGAAATTTTAGAAATAGCCAAAAATCCTGTAATATTAAAAAGGCTTTCATGTGAAAGGTAAACTTTCAAATGCCTGTTTGATACGTAGTAATTACGTTTTAATAATTTTTAAATAGCGGATTATAAGACATTAATATTTTAATATTGCACTGATAGTCATTCTAATAAATGTTCTAATTTTTTTCTGTATCAATCCATGGTTTAAAAATTTATGCTTTATTTTGGGACCATCTAAAGTTGTCAACAAACTAAAGAGTTTGAGATTGGGAATTGAGATAAAGATACTTACTTCTTACATGCTTAAATAATTGACTTCATTCTGAAATCTTTAAATGGATTCTCAACTTTCAAGTGGTATTCTCCAGAAAGACTGATGGGTTTGTTTTTCTTATTTTTACTGCTGAGTTTCCTCCTAATAGAGGATCTCAATGATAAAAGCAGTTGGGGAGTAGGTGCTGGGTTTGTTTTTGTACTTACAAGAAGAGTATGACGTGTGAGATGATGTTTTAAAAGAGGCTAACATAGGGCATGAAATGGAATAGATAGAACATGTAGCCTGTACTCCCCCTACCCTTTCTGTTATCTTAACTTCAGCTAAAAATAAAATATACTTTTAAAAATACTTATTGCAAAAGCCAACAACAAAAAGTGGTTCTTTTTGTTGTTGTTTTTCTTTTTTAAATGAACCAGGGGAAGAAGACAAAGAGAGTTTTGTAGAGGAAATTATGAGACAACTTAAAAAAAAAAAAAAAAAAAAAAAAAAAAAAAAAAAAAAAAAAAAAAAAAACACTGAATTCTAGGTCTTCAGTACTTTTATCAGTTATTTCTTTACATTTCAGCCGAACAGTCCTTACATAACTTGAGTATTCAGAGGAAAAGTAGTATATATTTGGATATTTTATTGAAGCAAGTAGTGTATATTAAGAATATTCCAAACCATAATAGTTGGGTATAATTTAGTAAGCCCACATTTGTTTGGCATTGGCAGGAGGTAAACATCAGAATAGCTTTGTTTTGATGAAAGTTGTTCTAAACTCTGAAGGCTTTATATGCCCATTAAATGCTAAAAGGCAGATAAATTGTTCCCAGAAATAGCTTGAAAATGTGTGCAGACTCTCAGGGCTAAAGTTGAGGGCCTTGTGTGAAAGAGGTTGCCAGGTGTATAAGTTTATTATAACCTTAAAAGTTCCTAAATATAAATTGTTTTATGGCCTTTTTTCACCCATTAAATTATCATAGTATATCTAAGTTTTAACCGAGTTTAACTAAATGAATATTAAATTAATTGGAAAAGATACAGAAAGAGACTTTTCACATTTTTTAGTACTAGGCCATTTGAATATCAAATAGTAAATAAAAGTTGTTTGGAGTTGAATTTGTGGACTCCATGTTTTTAATAGCTTTCCTCATGTTTCTGGTGGTTTCGCTTTATTTATCTTACTCTTTCTTTTCTCTGTAGCCCTAGCTATGTCTCTATCTCTCTCCCTATCTATTTCCGTCATGTTATTCAAAGCTGTAGTTTGTTACCTCCTGTCTGGTTTTGATTTTAATCAAAGAGTACAGTATGTCTCTTGATAGAAAGCAGTTTTGTGGAATTTGGTTTTTGCTTTACTTTCATTGTTTCATGGGTAAATTCCAAATAAGTTTTTATTTGATTAAAGTTATCCTTATTTTTGTAATTGTTCTCTTAACCTTTCTTTTACTTGAGATTTTTTTAAAAAAAAAGTTCCAGTGTCCACTAATCCAGAACAATATATTTCTCCTTGCAACGTTCCAAACGAGCAGAGGCTGCCAATCCACCACCCAGAATTTTTGTACATGCATACTTCTTCTGATGTTAACATGTTCTCAGTGTGACCTGTACTTTAGTTTTAAATGATTGTAGCTCTATAGATCTAGGAAAGGGAGAAAGAGAAGCTCAAAATAAATATGTCTCAATTGTGTTATCTCTTGTGAATCAGGATAAGAATCTCTTTCTGTTTCTCTTTCTTGCTTTTCTT